ATGTTTTCCTACACAGGACTTTTCAGAGCCTTTATTATGCTGTGGCCCCCAATGGAGAGGATCATCGAACCCTTTGTTCTTAGAAGGCTCAGTCCTATTCATCATAGAGTTGTTCCCCAAATTACAAATTTGGCTTCTGAGGCTGCCCCTTACACCTGGGAGAGGCACTAAAATCTTTGTCAAACCTGGATATTTATTTAGAAAACCAAGGTCAACATAGCTATCCCAAAGTGTGTCCAAAAAACGCCTTTTTGTTTTATTTTCTTCTCCAAAAATGGAGATTTCTTTCTTGGGTCTTGGAAGCATTTTGAGTTCTTCATTAAAAAAAAAAGACGAAGTGTGTGTTGCACGCATGTATGTGTGTGCAAGAGGAAAATTCTCTAGAAACTTCTGGTATGGAGCTGGAAATGAAACCCCAGAGGATGAACGCATGTTGTCTGTGGGCCAGATGGCTTTGAAGGTGGTTTGGGGTGTGAGCTTGGCACGGAGCTAAGTTCAGGGCTCTGTCTGCCTCTTGGGGGAGGGGGCAGGCTTTGTCCTCTTCCCTGCTCCTGATGGTGTTGTCAGTCAGCTGTCTTTAGACATGCCTCGGTTACAGGAAGCCCTGAGGGGAGGAATGTGTCTTCTCCAGGCGATGCGTCTCTCCTCCTGGAAGCAAGACCTTAGATACCTGCTCAGCTAAGGATGGATGAGAGCCCCAGGCTGCTGCCTTGTTTGCCTGTGACCTTTCCACTGGATACCGTATTTTATAGTCTCACGTTTTCTGGTCTGGCTTTGGTGGGGACTTAGGGCTGGTTAGGGGGATATTCAATTGAAGAAAAAAGGCTGGATTCAAGCCCCAGCTGTGGGAAAACTTAGGGTGAGTCATGGCCCAGAAATGTAGTGTCAGGGAGTGAAGCCAGAGGGGAAAATATTTATAACTGCCGGAAACATGATGAACCTGTCAAAAATACATGAAATCAGCTAAATAAATTGGGAAGAAAAAAGCAAGGTCTTGTTTGGTTTTGTGAGTATAAACATTTTTTTTTTAATCACCAAGAAAGAGAAAAATAATTCCTCTACATACAGCTCCCTTATGTAAAGATGCTTGGGGGAAATCAAGGAAAAGTGTCTGTGTTCTCTTGAGCTGAAGCAGGTTAGAGAGATGGGATCAGCCATAGGAGGCAGTTGGGAGAGAGAATATGAATTCAATGGACCCAAGAGATCAAAGCCAACATAACCATGGGGCTACAATCCTCCCCCCAAGAATCCTGGGAGACTTGGGGTCATGCTGGGCTTCTGTGAATTTGGGGTGGGGGTCGAGATGTTTTTATATCTGAGCGAGAGAGAGGAGCTCTTAGGATGGGAGGACAAGCACCTAGGCCATGGTGTTGGGTAAAGCAGGGTCCCTCTGGCTGCCCAAGTTCTGGGACTGAGAGAATTCGTGCTCTGGGGGGCAGGGGGGCAGCTGGGTGGATCCAAGCAGAGCAAAGTTAGATTGAAAAGGAACTGTTTCCACTGAAGCAAACACTAAGGTTCAGAAAGAATGTTGTTTCATGGGCAACCAGAGAAAAGGAACCTGGGATTTGGCCAGCACCCTGGGGTCGCCAAGATGCGGATCACAAAGACTGGGGAGACGATGGAGACTCTGGAGGAGAGGAGGGTCCGATGGGCAGCGAGGGAGCCTGGATTTTGACCTGGCTGAGGTGGGTCCAGGGAAGGGACTTCAGAAAGAGACCTCTATGGGCCACCGCAGGGGAAAGGTCGGCGGTAGCAGATCAGGGACAGAGAGGCCCGCCAGGGGGCGCCACACAGCTCCATGGGCAACAAGGAAGCCTGTCTCTCAACCTAGCCTCAGTCACTTCTTCCTTGGGGTGCACGGGGAGGCTGGCCTAAGGGCGTTCCCACTGAAACTCGCTCCAGGAGGCCAAAAGGAGCGCATCTCTTTGAATGATTAATAGTGACTGCCCGGAGCGCTGTCAGGAACTCCGTCAGGTGGCCTCTCGCCCCGCGAGAAGAGCCACTGCTGTTGATACCGATGGGCGATGTCTGCGGTGGGGGCAGCCCGGGGGTGTGGCAGCGTCCATTCATTCATCCTCGCACAGCCCATAGCTGTCCACCTGCTCCTCGCAGGCCCCTGTGCTCTGCCCTGGTCCTCTGCGGGCGCTCCGTTCTCCAAGGCTCACCTGCAGAGGGAGCAAAAAGCCCCAGGCCAGGCTCCACTCCGCTCTAAACCTTCTCCCTCGGAGCCTCTTTAAGGTTTTGGAAAAGGCCTGTGTCCGATTCTCTCGGGGTCTTGAACAAATTAGCTGCTCGGTAGTTATTTGTGAAAGGAAGAAATAAATGCGTGAATCACCGTATTTCCCACTTTTTATTCATTTAACAGAGAAACCAATATATACATTTTGCAAGGCCTTTTCAAGGATTTGGAAATGGATTAGACCCAATCTTTGCCCTCTAGGAATTCATAGCACCATCTGGAGATTAGATATGTGCCCAAATATCTGTAAAACCAGGTCATTACGTACAAATCTAAGTTCCTAGAAGGTACCTGGCTTCAGGAAGGCAGACAGAGCTTGTCCAGGGTCTGGGGTCTCAGAGGGAAGACGGGTGCCAAGGTGAGAACCAGGATGGGGGTAGGTAGCGGAGGATGAAGCCAGCTGCCCTTCTCTTTGCCCCCTCTCTGTGCCTCCCAAGGAGAGCCCCCCCCCATGCCTCCCTGTCCTACTGTATCCTGGAAACAGAGCACAGCTGAGCAAGTGGGGCGGCAGCAAGAGGTCTGAGTGAGAAGGGCTGTACAAAACCCTTTCGAGGAAACACTTAAAGATGTCCAGGTCTTGCTCTGCCCCTGGACACTGGCGATGACTTTGTCGCTCAGGAAACAGCATGGCAAGAGGGAGGCAAGTGCAGTACCTGCTCCAGCCCCCAGGGGGCCTCCTCCCATGGCTGACCCTAACACAGCGCTGGCCTCCGCTGGGGATTGTGGGCAGGAAGGGGTTCTGTCTGTCCCTCCAGCTCCCAGCACAGTCCCCGCACACAGCCACCCAGTTCCCCACCCCTGGGACCTACCCCTCCTCTTCACTGGACGATGAGAAAGGGGAAAGGGGTGAAGGTGGGGTAAAGGTAAAAGGACAGTCCAGGGAGTTGGAGGACTTGGGGTGGTGGAGGGAGGGTAGGAGGAGGTCTCAGGCCAGAGTGGTGGGGGGGCATAGGGACCCAAGGGAGTACGGAGCAGTGAGACAGAGTCCACTTGGGGCCCTGGCCAAGCTGTGAGCCCAGAGAGGGGCCCGGGGACTTGCGGACCACCCTCCCCAGAACTTAAGCCTTACTTTTGGGATAGTATGAGGCTGGAACCAGGAAGCAGTGCAGCCTCCGTGCACAGAGTTTTTGAAGCATCATGTGAAGCTTGGTGGAGCCAGAAGCCCCAAATCCTGGAGCGGCTGTCTGGGTTTTTGTCCTGCGGATAGCAGGAAGCATGCGTACTGCAGGGGACACACACAGAGGTACATGCGCAGATGTGTGCGTGCTCTCTCATGCAGGTGCCCTGGGTTCCCCGTGGCTGGTGACTGATGAGCCGTCACAGGGCTGTGGGGCTGGGACTCAGAGCAAACAACAAAGCAGGAGGTTGCGTCACAAACAGGCTGGCAGGGGCTCCGGGACCAAAACCCTCAGTTGGACCCAGACACATGAAGAGGGTGGCTCTTCATCGTTTTTACGTGGGCGAGGGTCTTTTTGCATGGTTGCTTACGTAAAACCATCTAAAAGACTGTCAAGGAGATCCGAACCTATCTTAAACGGATTTCCCTTCCCGGGGAACACATGCAAGTGTGTACACGGATGTGCATGGGAACACGAGGAGGAGTGTATGTTTGTGTGGGTGCGTGCAAAAACGCACAAGCTGCTGTGCTGGTGGGGAAGCTGGAAGAAGAAAGAAAAGCATGGACTTTTAATCATTCCCCACACACGTGTGTGTGCGTGTGCACAAAGAGCTACACGCACACGCACATCCATCCATCTGCATTTTCGGCCCAGCCTGCATCCCCATAAACTGCTTTTAGGTCTGAGACCCAAGCCCGCTTTAAACCAGTAGTTCTCCACCTTGCTGGCACACTGGAATCACGTAGGGAATTTTTAAAAATCCCAGTGCCCCGGGAGCACTCCAGACCAACACATTATAATTTCTGGAGATGGGACTTGGGCATAAATACTTCATATCAATATTTAATCATCTCCTGAGGTGATTCCAATGTCCTGCCAGGGCTAAGTATTCCTATGCGTAGAAAACCCTTCTCCCATTCCTCTGCACAGAAAACTTCTATTCATCCTTCAAGACCCAACTCCCAAGGCCCTTTTGGAGGAAAGCTTTTCCTGACACCTGCCCAGGGAGAGCTGGTTTCTCCTTTCCTGAAGTTCCCAACACCATCTTAGATATCTGACTGCGTCATAATTATTTGCTTGTCTATACAGAACCATGACCTCTGTGAAGAACAGTGCTATGCGAGAGCCATCTGTCTATTGCCGACACCTAGCTCCATGTCTGATACGCAGCTGGTGACAGCTTCAGAATGCAATAGAAGTATGTAATGAAGGCCAGGAACAAGAGGGGGTGGGGAGTGGAGGCCATGGGTTTCTCTCGGTGGGAAGGCAACGGCTCTGGTCCCCTGGCAGCAGGATGGGGGTACCTCCCTACATTTTAATAACAGAAAGGGTCCTCTTATGTCAACAGGTTTGATGCTGATTGGTCCACACTTCCTGTTTCTTTAGGAAGTGCCACAAGCATTACTCAGAAATTCAGAGAGAAAAGAGAGTGGGGTTGTGACCTGTGCCTGGAGTCCTAGGTGACCAACCTCTCTCTCTCTCTTTCTTTATTTAGAGATGTATTTAAATTTATTTAGAGAGAGAGAGTGTATGAGCAGGGGGAAGGGCAGGGGGAGAGGGAGAGAGAGAGAGAGAAGCCTCAAACGGACTCCCAGCTCGGGACTCGATGCCAGGGTCCTGGGATCATGACCTGAGCCGAAATCAAGAGCCGGCTGTTTCACCAACGGAGCCATCCAGGTGCCCCTTTTCTGAACCATCCCCTTGTCACCCCCATCCCAAGCCCACTCTGTCTATCTGGCTTCCAGGGCACCTTTGCTTTGAGGAGCACTATGAACATCTGGGTCCCCTGCTTCTGTCCCAGATCCAGAACAGCTCAACAATCTGGTTCTTGCCCAAGGGCTGTGCATGGGAAACACTTGTGCAAGGGAGGGAGGCTCCGGTCAGCTCACTGGGCCTGCAGACACTCCAGCCCCGGCCCAGGAGCCTGAGGAACAGACAAGAGAAGGTGTCCTGGGGCTGAACGAAGTGAGTGAGGTCTGAGGTGGAAAGAGGTCCCCACATTTCTGACCAGGCGTCCTGGTCACTAGTCCAGGCTGAGGTCATGGTGCGGGCCCCCTACCCCCTGACACACACAGACATACACACTCACACACTGCCCACCTCCTGAAGGGTTCTCAACCTCTAGGCCGAGACCAGCCTCTCCCCTCCCCCACAACTGCCCCTCAACTGACCAGCCACAGTCCTGGTCGCCCACAGAGTCCATTCAACACGAGCAAGTGTTTTCTTTACATGTTGGGGCTTTTACTTCAATTTGAAGCAGATGGTTGAGCACAGATGTGAACAGCTTTGGCCTTTTGAGCACAAGGAAGAACAGGCCTTGGCTTTGAACATGACTTCCTCCCTCCCCAAATTACTGGCCCGTTCCCCTGGTCCCTTCTTCCCCTCTGCACCCCCCTCCCCACTGCATAACCGGGAACAGACTACTGGCCTTCGTGCAGGGCACCATCTTGTTTTCCCAGCCAGGAGTGAGAGCTACAGGCAAGGCGTGGCTGGCTGGCCAACAGAGACACTTTAGGTGACCTTGGTGGGGCAAGTCCCTGGGGTGGAATACAGGGTGGTCAATATTGCTTCTTTCCTCCCTTTCTCCTTTGCCTTGATGCTCAGGGCCCAAGGAGCCTAGACCCAGGGAACACTGAGAATCAGGGTCAGAGGCCTAAGCAGCCAGTGCAAGGGCGAGAAGAGGGCCAGGATCTCATATCCCACTCCATGCAAGTGCCCCCAGCCCTCTCTCACCACCCCCAGAAAGTTTATCTTGTACCCAGCCGGCTCAGGGCCCAGTGTAGAAAGAGAGTTCCAGGTCAGAGGGTGGAGCCCTTCCAATGGTCACCAAACATCCATCCCTTCCATGAGTTTCCAGTGGGATCATTGCTGACTCGTCTTTGGCTTGGGATGGCTTTGGCAAGAGGAGGAGCACAAGTCATAGAGCAATGGTGCGGCTTCTCATTGAGGGGTGTTCTCACAATTTGTTCAGTGTCTCTGTGGAATCTTTGGCAATGAATTACTGCAGCCCTGGGCAAGGGGGAGGCTTTGCTCTCCCCCTCCCCACCAGGCAGAGGGCAAAGTGCGGAGTCACCAGAGTGGCCGAGGGGGGACAGGAGGGTGAGAGGGAGGCAGGTGTGCCCCTGCCCCACCCTGAGAGGCAGTGGTCTGAGCATCTGGTGGTATCTTGGAGAAGAAGACAAGGCTGGATTTGGAGAGCTCACCTTCTCCTCAGGCTTGACCAGAAAGAAGGCGCACAGCAGCATCCTTGGTCTAGCCTGGGACCAGTCACTCCTGAAAGAAACAACCAACAGTCAGAAGAAACCCTACTCTGCTGACTCCTGTTTCTTAAAGGCCAACTGGTCGCAGGGTCTGGCACCGTCAGCCCCTCCTCTCATTTACTCCTTGCTGCCCCAGGAGGGACTCCTGTGGCCCCGGCAAGCGACTGCATCTTGACGGGCTCCGTAAGGGACGCACCCAGCATCTGAACCCAGGGCCCGCTGCCCCCACAGCCCACACTGCATTTTAGAGCCATTTGCTGATTTTGTCGGTTTGGGGAAATGGGCAAAGGCTGCAGGGGCTCGAGGGAGCTCGGAGATACCTGTGTTGAGTGCACAACCCTCCAGCTCACACCCCATGGGGATGGCCGTCCACAGCTCCTCTTCCCTCCACTGTTCAGACAAGAGCACTGTTCCTGAGTCACCGGGCCAGCTAGAGGTGTGGCCCATCGACCTGCCTGCTGGGGGAACCTGAGAGAGGTCACTTAACTTCTCTGGGCCTCAGTGTCCTCATCTAGAAAATGACACCACTGGACCAGCTCAGTAATTGCCAAGCTTGCTTTCAAGCCATAGAAATGTGGTCTGAACTGTGGAGGCCTAACCCAGAACACAAGAGACCTGGTCTGGTGTATCTGCAGCAGCCGGGTAGGGGGGACACAGGGAGAGAGGGTTGCAGGGTACATTCCCTCCAGTGTGAGGCCTGGGACAGTTCTGAGAACCCACGGTGCTAAGGAGCACAGTTTGGAAACCACTAGGTTAGATCATCTGTAAGGTCGTCACCGTGCTGACCGCTGGAACCTTCCCTCTGGCCACTGGCCTTGCTCTTGCTCCTGAGAACGGGGACCACAGGGTGTGACTTGCTATCAGGAAGGGGCAGGAGATGGAGAAAGGTCACAGGGACCACTGGGACTTTAGTTTTTGGGGGAGGTCAGAGCGGTGGGGGTGGGTCCATCAGGACACGTCCTCCCAGAACAGGTCAGGAAAACAGGGGTGCCTTACCCTGGCACGGCCTGTTCCTACGATAGCAGGACTCATGCAACCATCCCAGACAACACAGCTAAGACGCTTGTTTTTGAAGTAAAACATCTGTGGGGCCCCTCCACCCCGCCAGGGGCCTTGCTTGTGTCCCCCTCTCAGAGGTGGCGCAGGAAACTGGCCACAGCAGGATCTGAATCCGGACCCATGGTGTTTACTCGGGCACAGAGAAGCTGCTCCGGCTGAACTGCAGGCCTGGGGAGCCAGGTCGCAGCCAAACCACGGAGCTGGGGGGCTGCCAACCGCAGGCTCTGGGGAGCCTCGGGGAGCCTTGCAGGCCTGGGGCGCTGGGCTTGGCCCATGGCCCAGGGGCGAGGCGGGGGCAGGGTTGGAGGCAGGGGGTCCAAGGGGAGGGGTCGCCCAGCTAGCAGAGGCCAGGCAGGAGAAAGGCAGGGGGAGAAGGGAGGAGGGAGCACTGCTGCGTGCACCCACGTCCAGCGCTGGCCCCGGCAGGAATCTGCTTTCTGTTACCGCATGTCTGAGGAGGAGGATTAAGAGGCGGGAAGGAAACCCATGGGGATGGCACGGGGTCTGTGGTCCAGGGGTGATTTACAGCCCGCATCAGCCGGGCGCTGACTGCCTGGGCGGGCCCTTTCGGGCCAGGCTGCCTGTGGTCTGGGGAAAGGCACAGAAAGCTGGCCCGGCCAGCCGCCCAAGCTGTCTTACTGGCCACTCCATCAAGGCGCCGGGACCCTGTCCCAGGCCCTCTGTTGGCTCTCGGACCCTGCGGAAGCCATGACCACTGCCCAAGGGCAACCAAGAGCAATGGAGCAGTTTCCTCCCGCCAAAGCCTGACCTTCAGGACTCCATTCCACCCTTTCCCTGGTGTCTACGCTGGACCTGGGTTCCCACCACCCACCTCTGCGCAGGAATCCCAGCATACGCACCAACCATCCAAGGAAGTCTTATGGCAAATGGGGCACGGTGGGAAGAATACAAGGAGGTCTTCGGTGTCAGCACCTCCTCTGAGATTAAACAGCTTTGTGACCTTGGGGAACTTACCATCCCTCTCTGTGCTTTAATTCCTTCACTTATACAGCAAGTACAAGTACATAGACATAGGCATGTGCTTTCCCGCAAAGGGTCCTTTGTAGAATACTAGACGGGTGAGGTATATCCCACGAGTCTGGGAAACACCACAAACCTAGGCCTCATCTTGGAAAGTCACTACATATATTAGCATATTAAAGGCTCTGAAAAGTCTTGCAGTAAAGAAATTTGCCTGGCTTTATTTATCCACTATCTGCTGAATTCATTTGATCCTGTGATCACAACTGCACTTTGAGGTGATCTGTGGCCCTTCCCTGGACTTCAAGTATCTGCTTCTTTCCTACCTCAGCATCCCAACCCCAATGTCCAGTGGGGGCTGCAGGTTGGTCCAGCCTCAGAGTTCTTCCAGAGACCAGCTATGCTTGAGGGATAGGAGACAAACCCATGGATGCCCCTTCAGAAGGGACAGGGTGTGTGTGTGTCTGTGTGTGTGTGTGTGTGTGTGTGTGTGTGTGTATGTTTTAATTACAGGCAGGTAATTGTAAATACAGAGGAGAGGGCTGGCAAATATTCCCCATTGTGACAACCATACCACAGACACCTTCTCATGGAACCAGGGGCAACATCCTGTGTCACCCCATGTGAGAAACACAGCTTGAGAGGACCTCTTGACTCCCATCCAGCTCTGGCTTTTTATGGGGGGTGTTTCCTCTGGGCCAAGGCTCTGGGTACAACTGGGAAAGGCTCTTGGCTCACTGCCCGAAGGACCCCCTAAACCCTAGCCCCTTACCATAGAAGATGTCCTTTAAACAGGGTCTGATGTGAAAATAAACTTTGATCATGACTAGACAAGATGGCCTCTCAGGTCTCTTTCTGTGGGTCTGCCATGCTGAGTGTGAAGGAGGGGATTTGGTCAGTGTGGTAAAGTGGTTGAGTTCATCAAATTTGAAATCGTCTTTTGATCTGTCCATTCATTTGTGGTCAGAACATCAGCTCCATGAGGACAGGGACACCGTCTGTTTTGTTTGCTGATGTAGCCCCAGAGCCTAGAACAGTCTAGACACACAGGAGCACCTCAATAAATATTTGTTGAACCAGGAAATAAATATTTCCAGTCACGGGCATTTTATTTACTATAGCTTTTATATACCACGGAATATGTTTCCTGTTTCAAATGTAACTTAGCATTTTTGTAAATATGCCTGTGCTTCAGGGAAACTTCGGGTAATTGTTGTGAATCCTGGAGCAACGCTGCACCTTTTTCACTTTTGTTCAATTCCCATTTTTTTATTATTTTTTTATTTCTAATGATACCTCCTTCGCTTACCAAGTTTGTCTCTGGCTTTACGAGGACTGGCTTCCTCTCTCGATCACTTCTGTGTACAACAGCACAATTTTACCATTTTAGGGGCCTTTTTAAAAAATGACTCTGCCTTTTTTTTTTTTTTTAAAGATTTTATTTATTTGACAGAGAGAGCGAGAGAGCACAAACAGGGGGAGCAGCAGAGGGAGAGGGAAAAGCAGGCTCCCTGCTGAGCAGAGAGCCCGATGTGGGGCTTGATCCCAGGACCCTGAGATTATGACCTGAGCCGAAGTCAGACGCTTGACCCACTGAGCCACCTAGGCGTCCCTCTATCTGCCTTCTAAGGTTTTGCCTTTTAAATTCATTTTCAGTTTATGATCTGCATATTCATTTTCAGTCCACTCTACCTCCTTAACCATTTTTTACTATTTTAGAATTATCCTTTTTTAATATTTTAGCAGTTTGGAGATAGCCTTCCAGATGCAGAAAAGGATCCAATGGAATGGAAATCCTGACAGCTTTGTTTGTTTGTTTGTTTCTCCTAAAAACAACAGTCAGATTTCAAATGTTGTTTTAAAACAAAACTATGGAAGATAAGCAGGGAGTACACAGAGAGATGCATTTTCAACCCCCGCACTATTAGGTATTATTTTAGCTTTCACTTCTCAGTAACTAACATGTGGGCTGGGAAGGGGGCTTGTGTTTGGTTCTAAATGCAGAACACTGGGGTCCACTGTGGCCCCAGAGTCAGCAGACCGCGGGACCCTGGGCAGGTGGGTTTAATCTCTCCATGCCTCAGTTTCCCCATCTTTAAAGTGAACACAGTAATAGTACCTGCCTCCCAGGCCAGTTGCGGAGAATCAATGAGACAATGGAGCCGTGCCCCCAGCAGGGCCTCGGACACCATGCAGGCATGGGAAAGTGCTGGCTCACCTCCCTGCAAAAAGCTGGGTCCTTCCTTTGATGGTGTTTGAAAACTTAGAAAAGGCATCACTTGGGGCGCCTGGGTGGCTCAGTGGGTTAAGGCTTCTGCCTTCGGCTCAGGTCATGATCCCAGGGTCCTGGGATGGAGCCCTGCATTGGGCTCTCTGCTCAGCAGGAAGCCTGCTTCCTCCTCTCTCTCTGCCTGCCTCTCTGCCTACTTGTGATCTGTCAAATAAATAAATAAAATCTTTAAAAAATAAAATAAAATAAAATAAAAAAGGCATCACAGTCTGAAAAGTCTCAGGTAATCAGAAATAGTCACATTGAACCAACTGTCATCTTGACCTTGTTTTTGATGGATTTAAAAAAAAAAATACACAATTTCTTAAAATTATGCAAGGCATGCCCATCACCTCATGAATGGGTAACCAAAATGTGGTGTATCCACACAAGGGAATATTATTCGGCCAGAACAAGGATGGAGGTACTAACACATGCCAGAACATGGATGGACCTGGAAAGCTGTGTGCTAAGTGGAAGAAGCCAGTCACTAAAGGCCACGTGTTCTAGGATTCCATTCACATGAAGTGTCCAGAGCAGGGAAACCCACAGACTAGCAGCCCCCGGGGGGGCAGGGAGGACAGTGGGGTAGGAAGGGAGAACTAAAGGATAGGGGTTGTCTTCCTCCCCTGAGAAGAAAGTTCTAAAACACACTGCGGTGATGACTGCACATAACAGTGAAAATACTAGAAACCACTCAGCTG